CCCCCCCCCCCCCCTCAAACCTGTGCAATCGTCCACCTTTGGAGTGTGACGGCACCGGTCCTTGAATCTGTCATGCTGCTCAACTTGTAAAGCACTCAACGCATGTACATTACCAGGTGATGGAGGACCTCCGGGAGAGGCTTGGCGGAGATTGGCTCGTGGAGGAGATGATACACGATGCGGACAGGCAACCGTGTGAGCTGGTGAAAACCGTGGGTGGCGTGGACGTCCTCTTGACTCCGCACGGTTTTCAGGTGAACATGCCCGTCATGGCGTTTAGGCCGCAAAGGGGGGAGGAATCAACACTCGTGTTCCGCACACGAGCTTGTCGTTTCATGGCGTACGCAATACACACGTGCCTTGCCCATCACAAAGGCCGAGGCACCACTGCAAGGTCACATGCAGTTACACCTCGGCTCCCTAGAACTCCTACTTACCGCACCGCGATAAAAAACTGGGAAAATGACGACCACCAACCAACAAGCACAATTTCTACAGATTATTCTCGAACAAAAACACAAACCCTTCCTTACACAAGCACCATTCGTGCCATTAAAGCAGTGGTGTATTCGTACAGCATCACCTTCACTTGCTCGCCCTCCCGTCGCCTGCCCGTCACCCGTACCCGCATCGGCGCCCCGCCAAAATGCAGTCGATGTTGGGACTGTTCCTGCGGCCGGGCGCGCTGCTTTTTGAGGTTTTCCCCCACAAATACTTCTGGGGACAGTACGCCGCTATGGTGGAAGGACTAGGCGTTCGCCACGCCTGGAGCATGAGCCGATCAGGGCGATTTTTTATGAGGTTCGCCCACCCCACCACGGAGACATGCATGCGGTATAAACGCTGCCGGGCGTATTCGCGCAACACCGATGTCGAAATCGAAGAACAAGACTTGGAGCGTCTGGTAAAGCTGGCGGTGCCACCATCAACGAGTGGGAACTTGTGATTGCACATGTCAGTGTGCTCAACCTTGCGTGCGCCGGGGACGATGTGGTGGCCACGGATGGAGATAGAATATTGTAGGACTGGAACAGTGAGAAGAAATGCAAGCAGCTTCGCATAGGAGCCCCGTCAGTAAAGGGCCATCAGGCGTCAGACCCGCGACGTCCTGTCCCCGAGCTTCTGGGAGCAGATGGCCTACGACCGGAAGAGTCCCGCGTCCCCGAACTGGGTCGGGGAGAAGGGAGGCCGCGTGCCCCTCGGGGACGGCATCCCCGGCTTCAGGGAGAAGTGGTTCAAGGGCGCCGGCCGGTCCAACCCGCCAAGCCCTCCCCTGATCCCCCAGCGACCGAACCCCAAGCGCTTAGGGTTCACGAACGAGGAGTCGTTTCTCGTGCGGTGGTGGAAGGAGAACAACGAGCAAAGCACCCGTCTCCCCAGGCCCTGTGGGACGCGCTCGAAACGAAGCTTCTCACGGCGAAGCGGTCGGGAAACACATGCGACCCCTGGAATCGTGCGTTCGGGCCCACCCATCGGACGTCCAAGGCGCTGAACGACCACGCCGCGAGGGGCATGAAGGAATTCGACTGGGGCGGCACGAAAACCGAAGAGGGCAGGAGCGGTAAGAGGAGGCAGCAGCAGCAGGAGCGGGAGAAACATGCCGCTGCTGGAGCCGAGGCCGGTGATCAGCGGGAGCGTCAGGGGAGCAAGAAGAGGTCGAGAGAGGACGCAGCGTCCACAAAGGGACGGGCTGCGGCCGGAGCTCCCCCGGTGGAGGCAGACGCGAGGCAGGAAAACGCCCAGGCGTAGGGTTGTTGGGGTTGTGGCCGCAGGAAAGGAAGACGGTGGTGTTCCTTTGGCGGGGTGGCCAGCACGTTAAATTTGTCGATCGGGACGTTTCGTTAGGGTTTCGTATGTTTTGTTTTCGGCGGCAGGGGGCCTCAAGGGCAAGGCGAGGGCTCTATCCACTGGCTGGCGGCGCGAGGGCTGAGGTTTGGCCAGGGTTCAGAGTTTCTTCGGGCCGCTAGGACCACCAGAACCACCAGAACCACCAGGACCACCAGAACCATCAGAACCATCAGACTCCGGGTCTCTTGATGACCCTACTCGACATACCGCAGGAAGACCAGTTCCCGGTGCAACAACATGATGATAGGCCTGGTTGATCGACGAATTGAAGGCCATAACCCTGATCTCTTTCTTCTGCACCGATTCATTCACAGCAAGGCACCAACCATGCACCACGAACCGGCTCCTGGAAAGTTTGTGGCCCTGCCTGTTGGTCCAGTGATAACAACTCCACCCCACGATGCACCCATCTCTCTACCTCCCTTACGCCTCGCTGTTTCTCCTGCCGTGTGTACCTCGTCCCATGTATACTTCGTGATCTCGACAAGGGAGTGAAGATCAACATACGAACCGTGGAAACGTTTACCAGTACATGTGTCATTCGCCGCATTCCAGTGAAAGCCTATTCGAAACAAACAAATTACCCTGTGATCAAAGTGGTATTTGATCTACATCTCAAAAGCTGGCTTGAGTCTCACACGTGCCGTTGTCTCCTACCACTCTCGGAGGTACTTTGAATTCATTCCGGAAACCATCCATCAACTCTCACGCGAGAGTGGAAGAGACGTGATCGTCCACCGCGTTGGACGATTGCGTCTCCTCCTACTCTCGGAGTTACTTTTTATTTCATGCCAGAAACGATCCATCAAGCGGTTCAACGTTCTCTGTTGCTTCACACGTTATGTCCACGCGAGCGAGGGAGAGAGGCGATTGTCCACCGCGACGGTCGATCGCGTCTCCTGTGCACTTGAGTTCATTCCGTTGCCGAACCCATCCATCAAGCAAGGTGGCGCGTGGTTGAACGTTCTATGTTCTCTATTGTAATTATTCTTCACGCGAGAGAGGGAGAGACGAATGTCCGCCGACACGGACGATCGCGTCTCCTGTGTACTCCTGCTCTCGGAGCTACACCCTGTTCCTACCAACAAATCGTAGGGTTCGAGGGAATCAGGGTTGCTAGCCCAACACGGGCTCGATTTCAGCCAAAACAGTAGGTTCAATTAGGTGTCTAGGGCTTGGCGTGGTATATAGACCTGATCACTCAACGCCAGGACGCCATGTCTGACATTCTGTCCTTGTGTACTGATTCATGTCACTGCAACCAACAATGGATCAAGAAGTGGTTCCTGGTTCCATTCGTCCGTGGTTCTGTTTGGTGGTCCCGTGAAGACAAAGCGAGCCACCTGGTCGATCAAATCAGGGCCAGGACACAACAATACACCCCGCTGCTTCAAAGCCAGGCACGTACGGCGTGTCTTACGGTGCTCGAGGCGACGACGCCTACGTCATGCATACGCGCAAGCTCCTCCCTTCCCGGGAACACTTGATCTAAGTATAGTTTGTACTCCGTACCATGTACCGTGGACATACGTGAACAGACAGCTTGAGACGGGCCACCTTACGTCCTGCCCCCTCGACCGGAACACGGGCGGAAAAACTTACCTCAAAGGCGAGCACGCTTCCGTTTATTACTCTGCGCGTCGGCAGCGCTCGACCCGAAGGAAGAAGAGCGCTGCCTCCGAGCAAAAGCAATCAAAGACACCCCCACCCTGGGTGCAGCGGTTTCCTCCTCGGTGGATGGCCCGCGTTTCTCGCCGGTACCGAACACCGCTTCCCGCACGAACCGCTCGTATGTCTCGTCCAACGTCTCGCCCGGTGTCGGCGGACGAGAGAGCATGTCGAAGCAAGCACGGAACAGCAGAGGGTTGCGGGGCCCCGCATGCCGGTAGATCGGGTGGCTCATAAGCTTCTTCCACGATCCCCCACATTCTTCGAACATTTTCTTCGCGTCGTCAGACCGGCTCACCGCGCCCACGTTGACGAAAGACGTCGCCGTTGGCCCCCGCCGCCTTCGCGGCAGACGGGGCTCCGTCCCTGGTACGGGAGAAGCGGAGCGTGCCGCCGACGAGGGTGTCGGTGTACCTTGGGGCAGCCTTCGTGCCGTACCGAAGCCCGACCAGCGCCGCCCGGCCCCGGTGGTCGAGTATGTGGGGGAGCGGCGCGATCGCCGGCCGCAAGAGTAGGTACCTGTGATGACAGCGTTATCGGCACGGAAGGGGAGCGACAGCGAGTGCGAATAGCACGGGACGTTAAAGCAGACCCAGATGAGGTCAAGTTGCATTCGTTCGCTGCCGCATCTCCCTTCCGTAGCTTTGTGTGAGTAGAATCATCGGGCGCGACTCGGAGAAATCCTGACACGTTGGGAATGCCATATCTGGAATCATTATGCGCAAAACATTTACTATTATAGATGAAGGCCGACGCAGATGTGTGTTGGCGACATATAAAGGGTGGGGGGGGCAGGTGAGTTTAACTTTTCCTTAGCGTGAAAGAAAATGTCGTGTTTCACCGGAAAATATTAACTCTCCGTATAAAGTAGATTCGCAGATTTGTGTCGGGTCGGTGTTGTATTTGTTAAGCCGCTCGGGGGGGAGCAAGTATTTTTATGGGTACCACCTGACACGTTGACGGGAGAAGAGGGAGCTCAGTGAAGGTTGGATTAGTAACTGTTGTTTTGTATGGGGTCCTGTATTTTGCTGTATATCGCTTTTGGAGCGTACCCCTATGTTGTCGGGTATTGCAGTCTTCTTATAAAAAGAAAGAAACTATGAGATCGACAGCAATCCAAGTCTTGAGTCACGAAAAAATCAAGTGAAATTCCGTCGTGGATGATGCACCTATTCGTCACGGATTTTTCTTTAGTACAGTCACGGAAGCAACGCCTTCACGAGTCAGGACACAGAATGACCTGTCTGCATGTCACCCGACGGCATCACGTGTAATTAACATTCAAATATCCTACTGAGCGCGGCATGCACACTGCCATCCAACGTCGCATGAACAAATGCGGGTGACGTCATGAACCTTGACTAGGGTAAATCATTCGATCGGTCGCACCAATTGATTTCGCAAAACAGCATCGATCAGGCAGCTCTCGTGAGGCGGGACTGTTGGACTTGTGAAGGACACTTATGTCATCCATAAAGTTAACGAGAAGGATGTCAGGGATGCGCTTGCTCGCCCGTAGCGAGGCCTACCCATCCACCGATCTGGCCACTACAGACCCAAATCGCGTGTCGTCAATCTCTAATTTGCGTTTCCTCGACGCACCAAACTCGGAAAAGAGATTGTCGGGGTGTGATCGGAGGACATTCGCTCTCTTCCTGCTACGATAAACCCGAAATACACATTGAATCCTCGTTGCCGACGCGGAAAGCCTTCTGTCCCTGTATTGTAAATACATATTCTCCAACAACTTGACGAGGACTTTGTCGCCGTAGCGTTCAGCGTTCAAAGAAGACCACTCGTACGCCGCGTGGACCAGCCAAATGGCTGTACCAGCCCCCACACTCTCGTCCATGTGCCTCTTGAGGCACGTTTCTATCTGCTCGATAGACCATAATCGACTGTGTTCTTCGTAACAACTTCCGATGTATTCTATGCAGTTATATATCGAACAAAAATCTCCCCGTTTGTATCCCTCACACAGCCAGTGGTACAGCGACAGACCCGAATTCAGGGGAATCTTGATGTACTTGCGCTTGACCATCTCCCGGATGGTTTCCTTACGACGGTCGTCGTCTATTGACCTGAGATGAGGAATCATCAGCTTGGACTGTATCCACTCGTCCCAGTTGGACGCGTCGTAGGGGACACATGAAACCCTATCTTCGCCGTCCGCCCACATATGAACTTCTGTAGCAACATATCCCTTGGAAACCATCCAGTCGGCGAGATCAAACGCCTGGCAGTACACTACCGCCGCCCAAATAATTTCCTGCCCTGCGATGGAGATGTCTTCACACTCCTTTAAGCGCTCCATGCGACATATCAGCTGGTGCTGATCCCACCAGCCACATAGTGGTCGTTGACCGATCAAGCTGGAGATGAAATCTCCTTCCTGCAACCCGTAGTCAATGCAGAAATCCATGACTCAATGTGCGTGCTCGAAGAAAGTGAGGTGGGATCGTGTACTTGCTGCAGAGAAAATGAACCAATGATTTTTTCCTTAAAAACACTTGGCCACCCTACCCCCACGCAAAACCATTCCACACACGTGGCCCCCGTGTGTCAAATCTTAACGATCAACTTTTGCGTGGCATTACGTCGCCACTACACCACACACGTACTCAGCCATGGCTTCTACTGCTCGCGCCGCCAAGCGCATCAAAACAGCCTCTGTTTCAAAGGAGAAGAAGCCCGTCGCCAGCGTCACCAGCGTTCACAAACAGGGATTCGATGCATCGGACGTCACGGTGCCCACAACGCATGCAAAAATGACATTCAAATCTCCGGTGACAATCGAAACGGTGTTCAATGCGCCCAGTGATGCACAGGTGCGACAATTTTACAGTTCGAGGTGCAGCAGCGGGACGCCGTTCGACCATCTGCCCGAACACTCAAAGCTGGCGTGGACGACATCGCTACACGACGTGACAGCGCTCATAGGATACATCGTGTACGCCCAAGTCTTCCCGTCTCAACTTCGAAACCGCATCAAATTGAACACCGCGAGCTACCACTACAACGCGCTCGACGGCACAAGCGCAAGGGGCCAAATCAAGCTGCGGCAGCGACAAGAAGCCCTCGCGAGACTCAAGAAGGTCGGCTCAGCTACGTCGGTGTTCCGCGGTCTCCCCTACAGCGTGGACAAGGCGAAGAACATACTGCAATTCATGAAAATGGATTTTGACGAGCACACAAGCAATGTTTCAACCGCAATCGATCGGTCCAGGGGTCACAGGGTAGTCTCTCATCGTGTGTCGTGCTGTCGATACGCAATCTTGGCTCCGACTCGGACATAAAGAAACCCAGTTTCGGTTCGAGGCAGTGCATGCCCGGGTACTTAGTACCCTAGCTTGTACGTTCTCGCGTCCGAAACATCGTTCTCCCTCTTCCGTGCAATTTTGGAAGAAGCAAAGAGTACACGTAGCCAAGCACTACCCCGACAAAGACAATTAACAAAGCTTTCCGAAACATGCAGGGAGTGTGTTTGTCGCATGCTGTCTCATTGGTTTGCTATTGACTGATTGGAAGCACACAAGCAATGTTTTTCCGCAATCGATCGTGCTCGCCGCACAGCAACGTGTGTCAGTGCTGGACGCGCTCTCGCGGAGGGAGTGCGTGGAATTAAAGGCGCGTGTGTTCCAATTTATACAACGCTACCAACACATCGAACCCGTGAACTGGAGCTCCACAAGCGCACGCCGTGTCGTCCATCTTCTTCCTCGCGCTGCTGTACGTCTCGATCTTGCCAGGTGGTAGGTGGATCCAGCTCTCGAGGGCGCCGAGGTGTCGTCTGTAGCACTTGTCGCACCGTGCCGTCCATCTTCTTCCTCTCACGTCTCGATCCTGTCAGGTGGTAGATGGATCCAGCTCTCGGATCTAGCTCATGCGCGACGTGGAAATGTGTAAAAAATCCGGGAAAAAACGATCATCAGACTTCTCGCGTCTTGGCGGAAGCATCGTTTGTGAGAGAACGAGCGAACAGTGATCAGCTACAGCAGCGGTAGGTGCGAAGAAGGAGGGGCAGGTAGGCGCGACTGCTGTACGAAGGCGCCGAACGAACGAGCGAATAGGGATCAACTACAGCAGCGGCAGGCGCGAAGAAGGAGAGGAAGGCAAGCGCGACTGCTGTACGAAGGCGCCGAACGAACGAGCGAATAGGGATCAACTANCGTGGATCCAGCTCTCGGATCTAGATCACGCGCGACGGGTAAAGGTGCAAAAATTGATCTATCTTAAGATTTCTTGCGGGGTGTGTAGATCCAACATCGTTCTCGAGCCCTGAACGAACATGGATCAACTGTTACAGCAGCAGCAGCAGCAGCAGCAGCAGCAGCAGCAGCAGCAGCAGCNCACAGCCTGTGATGCTGTAGCTGCCCTCACCTTCGTCCCTCGCGGAGGGAACAGATAGCACGAAGCCTTGGATCGCGGCTCTCCTCGTGTGATCTTCGCTGCTGAGCTCGGCTGCGGTGGTCCTCGTGGAATCGGCGCGTTCTCAAACGCCCGATTGGAAGGTCTTGTGGACTGGTTTTGTGGGGATGTTGGGTTGTGAGAGATGGAGCGGGCGGGCAAAGTGGGGGGCTCGCATAGTACAGATTGGATCTTTGTAGGTACCCTTCCTGTCCAATTATTCATTTCGGGGTGCGACCCCCGAACGGATTGAAGGTTGGAGGGAGGTGCCTGAAGCTGTGGCAGGGAGCGGGCGCGCGCGAGAGAGAGAGAGAGAGGCTGGAAAAGAGGTGAGCTTGATCGGTGGGTTTTAATCACACGAGCTTCAGATTCTTCATCCTGATTACGTCCGCAAAGTTTTCCCCGATGATGCTCACACTGTGTACCGCAAAATCGATGTACAGCAGTTCCCAATAGTCGGCGCTTTGCTGTGGTATAGCGCATCTGAAGGAACCGACAGCATCGCGAATCTTCAGCACCNAGGCAAGCGCGACTGCTGTACACGGGCGCCGAATGAATTATAGAAGAGGGGGCAACTGCAGCAGCAGCAGCAGCAGCAGCAGCTTCAGGCAAGCGCGACTTCTGAACGAAGGTGCCGAACGAACGAATAAAGAGGGGGCAACTGCAGCAGCAGCAGCAGCAGCTTCAGGCAAGCGCGACTGCTGTACGCGGGCGCCGAACGAGCGAATGAAGAGGGGGCAACCACAGCAGAAGCAGGCGCGAAGAAGGAGAAGCAGCCCGTGGTGCCGTAGCTGCCCTCACCTTCGTTCCTCGCGGAAGATCGACGCCTCTCTGCCAGGAACAGGCAGCACGAAGCCTTGGATCGCAGCTCTCTCTGTCTCTGTCCTCTCTGCTCGTGTGATCTTCGCCGCTGAGCTCGGCTGCGGTGGCCCTCGTGGAATTGGCGCGTTCCCAAACGCTCGATTGGAAGCTTGTGAGGACGTGTGGGGTGAGTGATGGATGGGGCGGGCAGGTAAAGTGGGGGACTCATAGACAGGTCTGATCTTTCTGGGTACCTTTCCTGCCCAATTATTCATTTCGGGGTGTGACCCCCGAACGGATTGAAGGTTGGTGGGAGGTGCCTGAAGCTGTGGCAGGGAGCGGGCGCGCGAGAGAGAAAGAGAGAAAGAGAGGCTGTAAAAGAGGTGAGCTTGATCGGTGGATTTTAATCACACGAGCTTCAGATTGTTCATCCTGATTACGTCCGTCCGCAAAGTTTTCCCCGATGATGCTCACACTGTCTACCGCAAAATCGATGTACAGTTCCCAATAGTGGTATAGCGCATCTGAAGGAACCGACAGCATCGCGAATCTTCAGCACCAGGTTGTGCAATGCATAATCCACCGCATCGGCCTTGCAGACAGTCGACCATGAAGCACTCCTTCATCCTCAGGCGAAAGTTCATGTTTTCATCACAACACACCCCAGCCGGCGAAGCGTAGCAACCTCTGTATAGACTCTCGTGTGATGTGATCCAGAGATTCTTTACTAAAATCAATTCACGGCCACGACACCCTTCTCGGCCGGAACCGCCACTGGGTTTGTACTATTGCGGATTGGTAAGAGTTCCGGGAAAATATTATTCATATTTCACGTGCACAGGAGGGTTGAGTGCCGAGAGAATGTGGCGAAGTTGTTCTAAGAAGAGAGAGACAACCTTAGGTCAGCTTCAGCTTTTTGCCCGTGTCCCGTTCGATCCTCCGTAGTTTCTCCGCCATGTTGGACGCCAATACGTTAAAACCATCGCGAATGAATTTTCTGTACACGGGCATGTCCTCCTGAAGATCGAAGATCTTGCGGATGTAGCTCATGTCCAGCTCAAAGTTTTCTACATCGTCGTAGGGGATTTTGTCCACGTACGTTTGAACGGCCTCCTCAAAATTGTCCTTGAGGTTTTCAAACAGCATCGAGAAACCAACAGTCTTTCTTTGAGTTACCCAGGCGCTGTCCTCCTCCAGACGCCCGCTAATGAACCCGCTNATTCTTTACTAAAATCAATTCACGGCCACGACACCCTTCTCGGCCGGAACCGCCACTGGGTTTGTACTATTGCGGATTGGTAAGAGTTCCGGGAAAATATTATTCATATTTCACGTGCACAGGAGGGTTGAGTGCCGAGAGAATGTGGCGAAGTTGTTCTAAGAAGAGAGAGACAACCTTAGGTCAGCTTCAGCTTTTTGCCCGTGTCCCGTTCGATCCTCCGTAGTTTCTCCGCCATGTTGGACGCCAATACGTTAAAACCATCGCGAATGAATTTTCTGTACACGGGCATGTCCTCCTGAAGATCGAAGATCTTGCGGATGTAGCTCATGTCCAGCTCAAAGTTTTCTACATCGTCGTAGGGGATTTTGTCCACGTACGTTTGAACGGCCTCCTCAAAATTGTCCTTGAGGTTTTCCAACAGCATCGAGAAACCAACGGTCTTCCTCTGAGTTACCCAGGCGCTGTCCTCCTCCAGACGCCCGCTAATGAACCCGCTTTTCACGTCAGTCTTGAAGTTCATGTTCTCTTCCAGTGCGTACAACTTGGCGCCGAACCTAAAAATCACGTCGGGGCCATGGTGTCCGGCGAGCAATTCCTGGATTAACTCCGGGGTGATGTGGTCCAGAGATTCCTTGCCGATGGGGTTGACGATCACGAGCGTCACTGCGGTTTTCTCAGCACGCTTCCGGTTCTTGTGAGCCCTGCTGCCACCGTNCAACAGCATCGAGAAACCAACGGTCTTCCTCTGAGTTACCCAGGCGCTGTCCTCCTCCAGACGCCCGCTAATGAACCCGCTTTTCACGTCAGTCTTGAAGTTCATGTTCTCTTCCAGTGCGTACAACTTGGCGCCGAACCTAAAAATCGCGTCGGCGCCGTGGTGTCCGGCGAGCAATTCCTGGATTAACTCCGGGGTGATGTGGTCCAGAGATTCCTTGCCGATGGGGTTGACGATCACGAGCGTCACTGCGGTTTTCTCAGCACGCTTCCGGTTCTTGTGAGCCCTGCTGCCACCGTGTTGAAGAATAGTCCCGGTGCTATCCATGACTTGGCCTTCGAATGAAGAGAATTTCGTAATTTCCAGGATATTCAAAATGTCGTGCAGAAGCTTCGTCAAAACACTCGAAGCCATCCTTTCTCGATTGTGGACGTAAACGTACGTGTCGTCAGCTACGGAGTGTATTCCACAATAAACTATGTCGTACTTGGACCTGATAGCATTTGTCAGAGTCTTAGAATCCACGCACGCGGGTGAGATTCTTATCCTTAACTTTGGGTGATTGATCTTTTGGTTCCCCATCTTTTGTTGGCCATCAATATAATAATATATTTCATAATCGAAACGCAATGTTAAAGTACGATTATATCTAAATGTGAAGTGCATCTCAGTGGTTCTAAGTATGAACAAGCATGTGAAGGACGTGGCTGAGTGATCTATCCCTCTGTAAAAAGCTGGTGAATGATTCATCCACTTTTGATCGTAAGTATTTAAGCGATTATCGGAATTTGAGACCACCACGAGATTCATAAGTTGTGGGAGGGCGAGGTGTTGACTCGGTAGCATCTAAATACCAATAATCACATTCTGTTTCAGAAAATCCGCGCGCGCGATTTGAAATTTGATTTTTGTTCTCCGGATTTNAGTATATAGACGAATCTCACTGGTTCTAAGTATGAACAAGCATGTGAAGGACGTGGCTGAGTGATCTATCCCTCTGTAAAAAGCTGGTGAATGATTCAGCCACACATGATCGTAAGTATTCAAGTGTTTCTCGGAATTTGAGACCACCACGAGATTCATAAGTTGTAGGAGGGCAAGGTGTTGACTCGGTAGCATCTAAATACCAATAATCACATTCTGTTTCAGAANTCCACTTTTGATCGTAAGTATTTAAGCGATTATCGGAATTTGAGACCACCACGAGATTCATAAGTTGTGGGAGGGCGAGGTGTTGACTCGGTAGCATCTAAATACCAATAATCACATTCTGTTTCAGAAAATCCGCGCGCGCGATTTGAAATTTGATTTTTGTTCTCCGGATTTTTTTTTTAAATTTTTTCTTCTGAACGGGTGAGAGTTCCTGGCAGCGCTCCTACCGCGCTTGGTGCGCCTGGTGTACATCGCGACGATCGACAACTCCGAAGGCGCGATGTTGTCGTGGTGCTCCAGCGCGTGACGGTCATCGCATGAAGCCGTGGTGCTCCAGCGCGTGACCGTCATCGCATGAAGCCGTGGTGCTCCAGCGCGTGACCGTCATCGCACGAAGCCGTGGTGCTCAAGCGCGTGACCGTCATCGCACGAAGCCGTGGTGCTCCAGCGCGTGACGGTCATCGCATTAAGCCGTGGTGCTCAAGCGCGTGACGACGTCGCATGAAGCCGTGGTGCTCAAGCGCGTGACCGTCATCGCA